CTTTTCTTCTCTCCTCACTCTCTGCTTTGCGGCTCTGACGTTGCTCAGACGTCCAACACAATAGCTTCAAAGGCCGATTAATTGCCTCACAGCCTAGCCGAAATGAATTTTTAATTAAGCCAGAGGACGCGCAAAACCGCAAACGCCACTGGACTTGAGACAAAGATATTGAGGAGAGAGGGAACGAGTAGGCCAAGTGAACTGCAGTAAAATAAAAATGGAACAAGCAAAAAAACAACCAGAGAATTACAGCCATAGAGCCTTTTTAGACAACAACACCAAATATAGTGGGAAGGACAAACAATGTGAGCGACAGTGAGCGAGGCATTTTTAACCACTGAACGTCCTTCTTCGGAACAAAGTCCATTAAGCTGACGAAAAAGGTATGCAGCAGCCAAGTTCGAGCATAATTAAGTAACCGAAAGATGGAATGTTAGAGGACATGCAAAAATTAGTACAACCGCCATAAAGATTAGATGCCAAGAGGAGAGTGGAGAAAGGAAATGATGTTAAACGGTTAAAAGTGGCAATAACGAAGCTTCTTAGTGAAAATCGTATTTGGGGGTTACTCTAGAGCGCGAAGGTTGGCAGTTTGTTAAAGAAAATTTGTCTCGTCGTAATGGGGAGGAATTTTTGGGCAAGTAAGTGAAGAAACGTCATGTTAAGCGTAGGCATGAAGTGGGCTTATATTTTATCATGTTTTTATAAAGTCTTTTCAGCTGTTATTTGTATGGAGAGCAGGCGCATGTGGATGAACAATAAGTCAACATCTAAGCCTAATTAAATTATGCACAAAAGAGGAAAGAGAGGGGGCGAAAGAGAGAAAGAGAGAGAGATGGGGCAAAAGAACTACCTCGAGCTAGATCTACTACCACCTGAAACACTTAGTTGTAATCTCTGAAGGGATTTTCGGCCGAGCTCTTACTACAATTTATGGTTTTCCGTCTTGATTTAATTGAAGGCAGCTTAAAGTTCAACGGTTAAAGTGCAAAGCCCAAGCTTAAAAACTCCAAAATTTAAACACAAAACCAATGGTTCAAATTAGAAAAAAAAACACCAAGCAAAATAAATGCAAAATAAATTCAATACGAATTCTTATTTAGTTCCGCTTTACTTTGACCAGTCTCCAATTGTAATCTCTATTCCTGAATAAATATTTAATTTATTTACACAAAAACCCATAAATGTGATATCTGCTTTATTTAAGGTTTTTCTATTTTCAATTTATTTATAAAACTTGTTTACCACATTTCTGTTTCTTCTACGAATATCAAGTAATAATTGTATCTAATCTCTCTGGGCCGCCGCTACCACTGCTGCTGCTGCTGCTCCTGCTGCTCCTGCTGCTGCTTTGCCATAGATTGCCAACATAATAAATATCACCTGCGGTTGACCACAACTCAAAAGCAAAAGAAGTTTAAGTAAAATAAATAAATAATAATAATTCGAGGCATAAAGTAGACATGTGTATGTGTGGGTATTTGTATGAGTGTGTGCCTTTCACAAGCAGAATGTGAGCAGTTAAAGAGTTACAAAGCAAAGGCAATTAATAAACAAGAAAACGGAAAAAATATTTATTTACACAGACACACGCACATTATTTACATATGCACATGTCCACATTTAAACATATCTATGTATATAAAATACATATTAAGTAAATATATACAGACACTGCCATCAACAGTTGGCCACAATAACAAGTAGTCAACAACAAGTCTAACCTCAATCATTCTCTGACAGTTGAGGAGACCACAAAGTCAATGTCAGCGTAACAAGAAGAAGTAAAAGTAGAAGAAGAAGAAGAAGAAGCAAAAAATTATTATATAAAAAATAGCCTGAGAAATATTTTTATTAAAATTTGTCTGCTTATAAGTGTGTGGGTTGCATCTCTTGCTTTCAATTAAAATTTAGCCATAAAAAATGTTTAGAAAAGTTATTTATGCTCAAGACCTCTGAAAGTATGCTTTACGCTCTGTGTCCACCCTTCGCTGTGGGTGTGTGTGTTAGTCACAGTGTGGGCTCCGTTATTTGCGCTTAAAAGTGTTGATAATAAAGTGGATAAACAATCAGCGAGGCGTAGGTGTGACAAGCGTTTGAGCTGCGGTATGGAAATGCGTTCGAAAGAGAAGTTAATTTGAAGAAAATATAAAAGTGTATGTGGAGTGGCAACCTCTCCGAGTATATATATATGACATGAAATAAAAGCTCTTCCTTACACGAACCACAAATTAGTGGTGGAGCTCGGTCGAAAATCGCTTCAGCGATTACAAAAGCCGTTGTATAAATTCATATATCGTGCAGATGGCAACTATCAAACTCTATATGAACTCAAAGTTTCGGACGTATCCCCAATTACTCAGACTTTTATGTACTCCACCTTCGCTGACAAATCTTAGGCTTTTAGGAGTCAAGGCGAATCAATTAAAGAATTTTACAGCTCAGATGGGTCTAGATGGGAAGTTTACTACTGATGCGAAGAGCTTACTGCAGATATCGGTCCAGAATGCCCCAAACGGCCAAGAAAAAATGTCTTACAGCAGAGAAAGTCTCAATCTGTCCAGTCAGAAAGCCAGTCCGGAGAGTCCTTCACGATTCATTCGCTAAGTGACAAGCAAAGTACTCGTGTGAGGAGCAGTATCGGGCATGACTACAAATTGAACAAGTGAAGACTTCTCATAAGCTGAAAACCTGAGGGCGATTTACAAAAAGGCACGAGGACCCAAAATAATAGCGCAAGCATCATATGACATCACAAGTCCGAGTTACGTACACGTGGAGGACAGAGGACTCAGTTTCAAGCATCTAACAGGAATAAATTTACTTAAAATAATTACAATGAAATATATAAGCTTTGTTTTCAGTTACTCAGACTTCGCTTATATTTGTTATGTCAAGCTAAAAAAGGTAAGGTTTTTTTTTATTTAATAGCATTTAATTTTTTTTTTAACTCTATTTAAACTATTTTATTGTAATTTATTTACTTCAATTTACAAAAATTATACTTAATTTAATTTAATTCTATTTTATTTATATTTTTTTGTTTTATTTTAATTAATTTATTTTAGTTTTTTGATTTGTCTTCAATTTAATTTTTTTTTTTATTCAAGCCCTTTCACAATCAGATTTCATACCGACTTATTTAAATCGCCTACAGTTAAGTGAAAATAATTCGCAGTTTTCAATTCTCTGCCTGCTGTTAAATGAGAATTAATGTGGTAAATGCGGTTTTGCGCAACTTATATCGATACAATTACAAAAGGCATGCAAAAATGTATACAAAAAAACATTTCAACTCACATGCATATCCGCAGAAACATACATGCACATGCACATGTACGTGAATGAAGAGAGTGAAAGCCAGCTGAGGCACAAAAGGCCTAAAAAAGTTATGCCCACACAAACATATGTGACCGAGAGATAAAGAATTAAGTAAAATACAAGTGTAAATTTGTTGTTGCAATTTTGTATACGCACACATATATACATAGCGAAAGAGAGGTGAAATGTGCGAAATATACAAAATTCGTGAATGAATGTGTGTATGTACATACATTTGTGGTATGAAAGCTGGCCAATTGCCCTTTTGTCGCACGGACAGTCGACACTGTGGTTGTATGTGTATATGTAATCATATATAGGTGCTGACATGCCATGCAAAGGTGTGTGTACTTGTTGCCGCAACATAATTAATTACACTAATTATCGCTTAATTCAGCAAAAAGCAACACCAATAAAGTTCCCAAAACGCGAACAGGAAGATAAATTGGTTGTGCGAGGTCGTTGGAAGAGAAGAAAAGAGGTGAAATATATTATGATATATACTATATATATTCATGATCTGAGATCTTCTAACATGCGAAAAGAGATTAAAATTTGTGAGAAAAAAGCGCCGAGTATGGTTGGAGAATATTTTTTTTTTTTTTGCATTTTAAGCATTAAGCGATCTCCAAAAAGTGGTTTCCTTTCAACGCTACCGTCAGAAAATGAATAATAGTTTATTGGAAACCATTTGATGAAAATCACTTTTTAATACCGTTCAAGACCCAAGAGCTCTAGTTAAAGTGGTTTCGCCTGAACACTTGACTGCCATAATGGTAATTCACTAAACGGAGACTACATACCCTAACAAAATACGTACATATGTACATATCAATATGCGCGTATGTGTGTATATATTTTCCTTTTATGCTGCCCATTAATATGCCCGCCACGTTCATTGCGAGTCGACCTTTGACCCTTTTGGCTATTTCCCAAATTCCACTGTGACACTGTACACGCTCCTAAATACCCTTTGCGCGCACCTGTTTTATATACATACATTTATATGTGTGAGTGTGCGTGCTGCTGGGTTGGTGTAAAATTTTACACTTATCGCTCGCGGCTGCAACCACAACTATGGGCGCATGTAGCATCGTGCGAGAGGAAACAGAATAACACACATAAATGTACGCAGACAAACAGACGTAGATGAGCATAAAATGCACCGTTATATGGCTAAAATCTACTTTTCATTTTTACACATATTGTATCATCTTCTACATATCACAAAATTCCTAAAATTCACCAAAAATCCACCTGAACATTACACGTTTATATAATCCAATTGCTTTTGCCAGAACTCACTACCTCCCAAAAGCTTTAAACAAGAGCTTTGAGAAACTATTCATGAAGGCTTTGGTGAACTTGTGCATAAAAGCTATCAAAAACTTGTTCAGAATATATAAAAAGCTCTTTAAAGCGCTCATGAACTTTCATTGGAGCTTTCTTTGCCTAAAACTTTAAATATCTGATTCCAACACCAGAAACTTTAAACTCCAAAGCTCATAAACTGTTATCAATCCCATTTGCAGTCCACATTCACACTGGCAATGACACTGACAAATAGACGTTGCCACGGAATACCGTTACACCCACATAACAGCACTACTTGACGCAGCATCAGCCGGCATACAACAGAAATATTTCATGGCAAATCATTCATGCGTTGGACAACGCTGTGGAAGGACGCGTAGCGCGGATTGAGTTTTAACAGAATAATAAACAAAGAAAGTGTGAGAATGTAAAAGAAGTGGCAAATAAGCTCATTTTGGCGGGAAAAGCTCAATGCTAAGTGCAGTGTTAAAGTGCGGTAAAACAACACAAAAAAGTAAAATAAAACAAAATCATAATAAAATTAAAAAATATACAAAAAAATATTAAGAAATGAAAAATAGAATTAAATTCAATAAAACAAAATAATATAAATCAAATAACATAAAATAATATAAAATAAAATAAAAAAAATAAAATAAAATAAAATAAAATAAAATAAAACAAAACAAAATAAAATAAAATAAAATAAAATAAAATAAAATAAAACAAAACAAAACAAAATAAAATAAAATAAAATAAAATAAAATAAAATAAAATAAAATAAAATAAAATAAAATAAAATAAAATAAAATAAAATAAAATAAAATAAAATAAAAAACTATATAAATTTAAGAAAAAACTAATTAAGAGAAAATAAATTTTAATTAAGGAAAGATAAAAATAAAAATAAAAATAAAAACAAAAATAAAAAAAAAATAAAAGGTTAGAAAATATTAAATAATAAACTAGTTAAAAGAGGAAAAATTAGATTAAATTGAATTCAGCCAAACAGCGCAATAAAAGGAGTGAAAAAATTGAAAATTTTGAAAGCAAATTCACCGAAATAAATAAAAAATAAGAAAAAATTAAAAAATTAAAATTGAATTAGATAAATAAATTCAATTAAATTTAAAATTAATTCAATTTTATTAAATTAAAATTAAATAAATTAAAAATAATAATTAAATAAAAAATACAGATCAAATATAATCAACTAACTACTCATATAACGTATAAACAATAAATAATAATAATAATAAAAACAAAATTATAAATAAAACAGCAAATACAAAAATTAAGCAAAAACTAAGCAAAAAACAGAATAAAATAAAAATATAACAATGAAAATTGAAAAAAATAATTATTTAATTTAGTATTAATAATATTAAATTAAACAAAAAGTATAATTAAACAAATACATATTTAAAAAAATTATATCTTAATAAAATTATCAAAAATATTAATAAAAAAGTATAAAGTATATTGGAATAAATAATCTTAAAAAGAAAAATAATTAAAAAAATTAAAAATTTATTAATTAAATAAAATTAAAACTTTTCAAAATTAAAAAACTAACTAAAACAAAATGACAGAAATAAACTAAAACCTATATCAAAATAAAACAAAATTTTCTCACATTAAAGTGTTTTCATTCAGGGCTCACGAGCGGAAAATCTGTTACCAATCATTTGTGTATAAATAAAAGCAAACAATAATAGAAAGATCTGCAAACATTTCTCTTTACATCCCTTCAGCAAGTGCATACACTCATCTTCCTCAGCATTAGATAGCAGCCACGGCAGCCTCTTCAACTGGCACATCCATCCGCCCATCATTGGAGTATCTCCTTTATCGGCCACTTTGCGGCGGAGTGAGTGTAAACAAAGCCGATGTTGCAATCATAAATTCAGAAGGTAAACATTGAGTGAATTTCGAAAACATAAAATCTTCTCGATTCACATACAAAATAAAAATAGAATAAAAATACACATACAAACATATATAATCGTATGTAGATATGTGCGTTTACTTATCGCATATGTGTAAACACGTATCTGCAAGCTGAAATACACGCAATATGCGTAAAAATGTATTTCGATTAGAAATTTCTTTTTTTAATTTCATTCTGACAAGAAGAAATGATTTAATAGTATTTTTGATGAATAAGCCTGGGTTGTTATTGTTCCAGGAACTAGAAAAAAAAATGCATGAAAAAATATTTAATTATATTTTCGGAAATATGAAAAAGGGCGTAGAAGAAAAAAAAATTATAATTTTTTCATTAATTTTTGGCCGCTGAAGCGATTATCGACTGTGCTCCTTCTCCAATTTATGGTGAATCTACATGTTTTTCTAACAAATTAAAGGACCTACAATTTATAGTAAGCCGTCTCCAAACCGCCGGCGGTTTTTTATGAGGAGCTTTTATTGCATGTCAAAAGTACAATTTTTTTAAATAAATTTTCTATAATTTCTTTGAATGGCAGTACGCATTGCTATACAATGTTGTTGTTGTAACCGCAAAAATATCCCCGAAAATTCTCTCTGGAGAATGTTGCAGGAGTGACAGTCCTTGGACGGATAAAAATCAGAGCCGTTCCCGTATAAAGACCCGACGGTCGTATTGGATTTTAGACACCTCTTACGACAGGCAAGCCTTACCGCGTGTAAATTCTTGAACCCCTAACCCGCTGCGGGTCATTGCGAGACACTCGCCTATCGCGGTGCTTCCTATATTCCCTGATAATAAATTACGATAATTTGTTTAATAACTTATAGACTTTCTTCAACTACAAAGTATATTAATGTAAGGACTTGAACCAATTGCGCACTGAACTATACTCAAATCCAACTGAACGCCCGGTCCGCTTAAACTGGTCGCAAAGTAATTTTAAACTGGTTTCATCCTCTTACAATGTAAAAAATGGTACCAAGGGCTTCTAGTTCTGTAGTAGAACTGAAGCTATACCAAAATCACTTCTAGATAAAACTGTAATTTGGCTCGAACTGTCTGTTAAAATGAAAACTGACAAAAAGCTTATACATTACTGCTCAACAACTCAACTCATCCTTAGCCAGTACCGAACAAATCGTGGACTAGATTGACACCAGTTTTGAACATAACATAAGCTAATCTGGAATTTCATTTGAGCAATGTACCATTTTTTTCTCTGCTTGTCTCAAAAAAGGTCTGAAACTAGTTGCAGACTAGATCGGTTGGAAACTTCTCCCGACCTGGTGCATAATCTTAATAAAGTGAAAAGTTCGCTGAAGAAAAGCAATTTACGTGCGTACCTCCATTTGCCTTACCATCGCCCCTACTTGAGTTTCACCGCCATTCTCCACTCATAAAATGTCTTACCGATGAGCGAGTCCCCAAAATTTCACATATGCAAGCATATTTTCCAGCTTTTACGAGCGTTCGCCTCCAGCGACGTAGCGAAATTGCAAGCAAACCAATTAAGCGAAAAGAAACAAAGAGAGAAATTTAATAATAAAATAACAAATTAAAGATAAGAAAATGTTTTCGTTATTTGATGTGACTAGAAAATTAATATTAAATAACTAAAACGGCATTTTGCGTACTTACCGTTATTAGAGAAGCAGAAAAAATCTAGAAATAACTGCTGAACCGCATAAAGAGTGCCACAAATGCAGTTTAGGGGTCTTAGAGCGTACACAGAAAGCTATATGCATGTGTGTGTATGTGTTATGCATGTGTAAGTGTCGCAGCTGCATTGGTATGCGTTTTCCGCTAAGCTCTAGAATTTGGTGGCAATCTGTTAGACTTTTGTGTTGAAAATAGTATAAATAACTGTCATTTGAATATGCAACGGTATGAGTGTGAGTATGTGTGGGCGTGTGTGGGTATGTGTGTGTGTGCAAAAATTGACTGTATTAAGCGGTTAAAATGTGTAGTAAAGCACCAGCGAACGCAGCATGTGCAAAATGTCACCAAACTGATGGGATTGTGAAACGGCAAATGGCAAATGGCAAATGGCAAATGAAAACAACAACTACAACAACGACAAGAAGGCAGAAAATAACAGAAAATGGCGTGTAACCGCTAACGTACAACAACACCAACATTCTTGCACCGCTAATAGTTGCTTGGCAAACTTAAAATAAATTGTCGCACTCACGCTGATTGCCAAGAACTGGTGTGGAAAGTGCCACCGGGAATAATGCGAAGAGAAGAATGATAGAAGGAGAGAGACAGAGAGAGTGGGAAAATCTTTAAAAATTCATACAATACTAATATCCGTTACAAAGAAATACATGTGCATGCGTTGTAGATATATATGTACATATATAAGCTAACTTTCAAATATATGTATGCCGTTATATAGTTCATGTGCTTGTGTGTGTGTTTCCATGCTAGTTTTACGCTTATAACACGCAACACTTTCTTCCGCTTAAGTGAATGCTGCTGCAAATGACATTTTTTACGCAAAGTTTACGAGATACATATGTGTATGTATATATGTATGTGTTTAGGCATTAGGTTGCACAAATAATTATTGTTTCTTTGAATTTTTAAACACTCTTTTGACAACAATTACTTGTTTTATTTGTTATCTAAACTTTTTATTTCGTTGACTAAATATTTTTGAAAATTTTGAAAAATAAAAAATTTTTTTTGACATGTATACATATATTATTTATTTTTTAGCATTTTCTTTTTCAAAATATTTTATTTATATTTAGCTTAAATTCATTTATATTGCTTATAACTTCAGCACAAGAAAACTCAATATTTTTTCGCAGCTAAATTTTGGTGTCACCCTAATATAATATTGCAAACTCACCTAACTAAGCGCTGTGGAGCTCAAAGGGGCAGGTATTCGTACGCAAACATAAATATTCATACGTACATGCATGAAGCATGTATGCGATTTTCAAATACTCATTTCCACATACAAATCTGTGAAAGTCACACACACGCTCACACACCTTTTTAAAAGCCTCACATGGCAGTAGCCGGAGATTCAAAATTTCCCTTTGCTTTCTGCACTCAACTCCGCTGATAAGAAGACTTTTCATTCTGCTTTCTTTCTTTCCACTTTCAACTTAAAATTACTTGATGAGCCGCTCCGAAATTTCATCACAAGTTAATGTCATCATTTTGTGCCAGAAGAGAATCTTGTAATGACAAAAAGCGCTGATCTCTGTAGGCGAAGCGTGAAGCGTGTGTGTTGCTGCCAGGGCGATGATAAGCATTTAAATGATTACAACGTATTTGGCCCCTTCCTTAGCGTCGTAGGGCAGCGTTGGAACACACTCAGGCCTGTTTGTGTGTGTGATTAAGACTTGTACATACACACGAACTTAAATACCCATCTAAATACCTATTTTGAGTAATTTCACGCTTAACTTTTCTGATAGTAATTAATGATTAGGAAGCCAAAAATTTGGCAGATGAAGGAAAAACCGTAAAAAACACTTTTCAAATGAATTTTTGAAAAAAAATCTGCATTTTATTTTATTCGATTTTATTTTATTGTTTTTTGTTTCAGCTAGTTCTTCGTATAAAGAAATAAAATAAAGAAGAAGAGCATTCCATTTAATAGCTCAACATATGAAATATTAAAAATAAATATTTTTCCTTAAATTCTCGGAAAAAATAATTCCAAAAAATCACTAAAATATTCATGAACTCAATGACCAATAGCACACAACGGAAGTTTGCCTTACTCCTAATGGCTACTTAACGATTGCAACAAAAACAACAACAATATTTGTATGCTTGGAGAGTCCTTCACAAAACGTCCAAGCTCGCCTGTATTTCTGGCGAATTTCTGTAAATTTTCGGCGAAAACTCAGCTTGAGTAGTCAAATCCATTTATTATTCCTTACTCAGCCAAAGCTTTTCGCTAACTTCAATGCTATTTTTATAGTTAAATAAACAACAGCTACAGCTACAGCTACGCAACTGATTATTACGACCTCTTGGCCCGTTCATTTGCCACTCAGTCAGACAAAATTTCAGTTTCGCAGCCAAAATGCCTATTAAGTAGGTTTGTCACGTCAATTTGTTGCAAAGGAGCAGGCAGCGCACATTATGGCCCGATAATAAATGCGGTGCAAGCATGTTGAACATAAATAAGCGGCAGCCTGAATGTAATACACACGTACACACACATAGACGGAAATAGTGCTCGCACGGTGAGCACACACTACACGTAGAGGCTTTCAATCGTTGTCAGTCGAATTGGAACTTGGTTTTTGCGGGATTTCTTTTGTAGAAAGGAAGTTGAAAATTTTTTATTTTACTTTTGATGAAGTAGTTACGAACTAGTTACTTTTCAACCACCTCCACAAAAGGTTTCTTTAAATAAATCTAACCCAAAGCAAGGATAACTCAGTAGTTGAGAGTTCAAAACTAGTTATTTACGGACCAAAACACATTAAGGCTTCTTATTGCGTTAAAAAAACTTGTTTCAGATATTGCCGCAATATCTATTGTACCAATAGCAACAAACACAACGGTTGTGTGTGCTGTATGTTTTTCAATAAAATTCATATACGTATGTGTGCATGCGTGTGTTTGCATAACTAAGCTTAATATGCATAGCAAGTGGTCTTTCGTCTATTATTCATATCTCCATATTTGTAAAATAATAAAATTAAAAATAATTTATATATATTTATACAATAATAAATATACCCCCATCGGCATCTCAAAGTACCCGAACGCCTTGTTTACTACTATTGTCTGACTTATACTTCCGCAATTGTACACAAATACTAAACCTGCCAGCAGCTGTTCAATTGCCCTAACAATAACGACAATCCAAACAAAAACCAAAACAACAACAGCAATCACATCAGTCAACGGACGACAAATCTTCAAGATGCCCCACATTAATTGAGTAGAGAAACATGAACTTGTTGTTGTTGTTGTTGTTGTTGTTTTTGTTGTTGAATTTCTTCTATCTGTTTTCTCTTTGGTACTGCGTATTTCCTGCTGCTGGGCAAAGTTTTTGGCATTTAGCGGTAAATTGAATGTAACGGTAGCATGAAAGCGAAGGAATTCGTTGGCCTATTTAAGTGGTACGGGAATTGGTAGTAAATGAAGAGCAGAAAAATAACAAATTGCGGAAGAAACGGAAGTATTTTTGGCGAAGTAAAAGGGAAACATAATAAAGAAACATAAGAATGAATAAAATATAAAAAAATACCGGCTCATGCAATATTTTTGCGAGTAAATAAAATCCATCTAAGGCTAAGGAACTTAATATTTACAACAACAACAAAAACAAAACAATCCTACTACAAAACTACAACACGCATAAGCTTAATTCATAAATTTTGGCGAAATGTGTCTTTATGTGCGGATATGTGAAGTATTTTTAGTGAAAACTTCTTTGTGACCCTTCAATTGCCACAACTGTGATGGCTTTCAATTGCTGATTGTAGAAACTGCTGTAGCTTTCTAGCTAAATCTATTTAAATATTTATTTCAATTTTAAGTTTTTCCGTTATTTTTTATTTCAATTTTTTTCCATTTGCTAGCTCCCTTTTCTGCTTAGCGACCAGTAGACCTAAACTGGCTTAGATGTGCTTTAAGAATCGCATTGTTGAGTGCTAAGCAGCTGAAATGCATTGCAAACTCAAAACTACCGAAATATTTTTTCTCAAAATTATCTCAAATAACACCGCAATCGTGATGAAATTATGCCAAAGGCAAGTTTATTGGTAAAATTTTCTGCATGCATCTAAATTTGTTGAGAATTAGCAGCCGAAAAAAAATATAATAATAATTATGCCGGTGCTGAACTAACCTTAAACTAGGGCCAAAGTAATGGTTTTGGGAATATTTAAAATATTTCTTCATGTTTCTTGAAAATAATTTATAATAAATTATTTATTTATTTTTGTTTTTATTATATTTCATTATACCATCCTTTTATTTATATTCTTTTTGGTTTTTTTTCACTTCCAAAGGAGGCAAAATGTTTTTGTGTAATTTTCTTAAAACTCTGCGGCGTCTTTGTATCCTCACAACTAAGATTCCATACTAAGATAAGTATGTATATGCGAGTATGCTCCACAAGTTAATCATTCTATCTGTCATTAAACAATCCATCAAAGTACGACCATTCCGCCTCTCATCTCGCCTGAGCGCAACTCAATCCAACTCAATTCGGCCATTCAATTGAATTGAAATCACTCACATCATTATTGATTGCAAGCAAAATTTGTGCAAAGCTGCTTGAGGTGATGGAGCATGAGTTTCTTTTCTTTCACTTTCTCTGCCCTCTTTTACTTTAATTTCTGTGTAATGTTCTGCCAAAAGGTAGAGCGTAGCACTCTCCCTAGGACATACATACATATGAGTGGCGTCCTGATGTTCGTGCCTTGACTATTTGAGAGTGGCCTAAGGTAGAATAAAAGAACTTATGAAGAATGTAGTTTTCTTAATGGAAATTCCACTTAAGAAAGTGTCTTTCAGATCGGTCTCAATAGAGATAAAGCAAAGCGTCTTCATTAAGCTCTTTATGAGGGGTTACTAAAATAAATAAATTAGTCTTCAAACTGGTCAAAGCATTTCGTAAGTGAAGTGTGTCCGTCACAAAACTTGTTTCACTGTTTTAATTCTCTCTCACTCCTTATCCCTTGCTGTTCTTCAATAGGTGCACCAAAGGCAACCAAATAAATATTTTTTTTTTTTTTTTTTGGAGTAAAGGAGTTTGCCACCATTTGGCTGGGCATGGTTTGTAAACAGAGAGGAATGAGGAGATGTTAATGCGTACAAAGGCACGTACAGATGAAGCTGAAGATAGACAGACCGAGTGATAGAAATATATTTAATATATACTAATGTTATATACAAATAAGTCTGACATACAATATGTCGGTGTTTACACTGCAATGCCCTGTAGGAAATTTGCTCTGCATAAAGCTTGCACAGAACTGAATGAGAATAGAAAAGTCCCAAATGAAAAAAAGATTCTTGGTATGTGGTTTTAAAAGAGACTTATGTATATTTAAATTTTTTTGTATAACAGTAAAAAATTAGTTACAAACTAGTCACTAAATGGTAACAAACTAGGCCAAAAGTAGTTACGAATGGATCCTGGATGAAACCTGATATCCGAGTGACCCAAAACTAATACTAGTCCTTCAAAAATGTTCAAAGCGTCTTAGAAGTACAACTGAAATATTCGCATAGCCAACAGAGCTGCTGCTGCACTAGTACCAAATTATAATGGTTCTTAGTGTTGCCACAACAGCTCGGGACTAGTAATGACGGTTTCAAAATTAATGTAAATGTTATGTATGAACCAGCTTCAAAATTTTCTTTAATTACTTTCTTTAATTTTTCTTTTATACAGAAAACATTTATACCGAAGGGATAAAGAAGTAGAATGAAATCGTTAACCATAACAGCGCAGATTCACACCGCTGAATAGAAAATAATTCAGCAGAGACATCCACCTAATAATCTAAGTGAGAAAACTCTGAAATGAAAGTGGAGTGGGAAACGCCTATACCAGCCAACTAAAAGTACCATTAACTGTTAAGGTAATTTATAAAATAAATAAAAAGTTATTAACTGAAAATGTTGCCTAAATTTCGGCACTTGGTTAATGATCTCATTTTATAGTAAAGCCGTGCACCGTAGTAAGTAACTACTACAAAGGCGCATACCTAATGAAGACTGTGGAAATGTTCAGTAAATAACTTTTTTACCTAGAAGGTTCAATCATGCAAAGGAAGTGAAAAGATATATTTATTTTAGTAAGCTTTTGTTTACATGAGCATTCCTCAGTACATATTTTTTTGTGGGTTGTGAATATTATTTGCTGGTAGCTATTTGTTTCTACTGTGGGAAGTTATATAAATTTTTTCCGGAATTTTTTTTTTTTTACTTTTTCCGAAGAACTTTTTGTATTCTCTCCAAAAATCAGTGGAGTAGTTCTTTTGCTACTTTTTGTTATTTCTTTGCTTATCTTTTGTTTTTCACTGAAAGTGATTTAGTTGAGTTGCGGTTATGCGGTAGACGAACTAGTGGACAGAAAAGTAGAAAAATTATAAGCATAAGAGAGAGAGCAAGAAGGAAAAACAGGCTGAGTTGAAGTACTTCGAGGTAAATCCCCTTTACACACTCCTCGGCATTTGCCGACGGGAAACTGGCACTGGAGTCCCTTGAAGTTCTGGTTAGAGTTTACCATTACCATCCTAAGTGTGGCTGATTATAATTTTGCTAAATGCCTAGTTTTTGTATATTTCTTACTAGAACTTTACGCCCATCCTACAAAGCTCATTAGCGCTTACATTTCCTCTTATGGGTGAAACACGCCTCGAGTACACTTTCCTTTTTCCTACTCAAACTAAATATTTATTTAAATTGCGCTCTCCCTTTCAGGCATTGCAATCTACCAGAAACCCCCCTGGGGCATTTTTCACGCTGAAAGTGTTGAGAAAAAATTATGTTTATTTAAATTGAAATTAAATTCGCGGAAACGAAAGTGTAAAGGATACAAATATGTGCAGAATGGGCGGGAGGCGAGTATAAGATAATGCGAAAGCATACTAAAGTACATTTACTCGTACATACAGACAAAACTAAACTGCGAGCGAAGCAACGTTTATTTAATAAAAATTCAACTCCAACACACATATTTATGTATATATTTATTTTAATGTATTTTTATACAGTTATAATGAGTAAATGTAGTATCACACAAAGTAGCTAAGGGCTGTGTTGAAATTCCCTTTTATTAGGGTGTTACAAAAATAGAGCCCACATTGCCCTGCCAATATTTCTTTTTATTGTCAGCTACTAGAGCTCCATACAGACGTGTCGGCATACAGAGCGATAGTTGCCTTTCACAGCAGCTTCTCTGACTTCTGCGACCAGCCTGACAGCTTCGTTACTAACAGCAGCGGAGTGTTTGACTTGACAAACTAATATCTTCTATAGAGACTGGAGTTCCACCTGAACGTGGTTCTTACTTGGTTTCTTGCTACTAATTCTTCTCTTCTTCTTCTTGAACTCGCTTATTATTAGAAGATCTTTCGCTGTGGATGCTAACTCCCTGAGTGTTGATGACTGATTATGAAGCATCAAAAGACTGGGTTGTTATGAGACGCCCTGCAGACGACGTCCAAAAACCGCCAAACCTCTGCAAGCACCCTAACGTAGAAGAAAGGATACTTAAGTATATTTTTCCAAACTTTCTTCCCTCAGGAGAATATAAAAAGTAGTTAAAAATTAAAAAAAAAAAACAAAACATTAATAACACTACAACAATTTTTTTAAATTTATTGCTCACATGGGCGAAATTTTGAAATTCCATTTAATTTTTTAATTTTAATTACACGCTGCCAATCAAACAAAATCTCAAAGAAACTTTATGAAAAAAGATTCTTTAACACTTGAAAGCTTTAGACTTTTTAGTTTATATAAAAAAATAAAAAAAATACCGTTGTTTTTTTAACTTTTCCCCAAATTTTAATGAGCCACCCTAACATATGTATATGTATGTATATCCTCGCATATGCGGCTTGGAGATTGTTGTAATGCGTACAGCTTACAATAACAAATGCAACAATGACAGAAAATAGATGAATGCATATATTGTACATATGTATGTTTTATGTATATGTATTTTTGTATGTATGTATGTATGTAAATTCATTATACATAGCGAAATAATAGCATACAAGACAGCAAATGAATGTGAAAAACGCAAAGTGCAAAGCGAAGAATGCCAATAAATGTTTTGTTGTTGCTATTGTACTTTTTTTTTGCTACAGCAGCACCAGAAGACGACCATTCTGTTTACTACTTTTTCATTGTTGCTAACATAAATACTTGATTATTTTCCTTATGTATGTATAGTATATGCGCATACATATATGTGTGCATTAAATCGCGTTTTTGCGCACACACACATACACACACGCACACGATTACATGCAATATCATGCTGTCACAGAAGGTCTTTTACGAGTCTCACATTGACCCAGCGGTTCGGGGCAGCTTTTGTGGTCACTGTCACTGAAAAATTGTGAACATCATTTTGTGTTTTTGTATGTGTATATGTATATAAATATGTGAGATTGTGTTGTACATTGAAAAAGCGACATTTATGAACTGTCAACATGCAAAAAGGCGCTAATATTAAATTTATTTATATATGTATATATGGATGTATACAGTACTTAAGATGACATTTTAAAATATTTTTACTCGTCGCGCATAGATGCTGGAGAGCGCACACACACATGCATGTACAGTTTTATGAATGTGCTTTCATTGGTACATATATGTGCGTGTGAAAATACTTTTAATAATAACAGAACACGAATTTAGATTTTTTTCTTTCTTTTTTTTCTATCGAAATTTGTATGTTTCGAGGAGCTGATTGGATTTTTGACACACACACACTCGTACATACATATTGATATCCGAATTTTGTAAAAAATTTTTATAAAACTTTTTTATAAATTTTCTTTATATACTTTTAGTACAAGAGGTCTCAATAAATTCTCACGCTTAAATATAAAACATATTCAGATACAAAAATAAAAATTATTTTTAGTTATTTTATAAAATTATAATAATTTGATCCGAAAACTAGACTAAAACCAAAACTAAAGTATAAAGTTTTATAAAAATATTTATTCTCATAAACGCACAACTATTAATGAAAATTAATAATTATATATTAAAATAAAAAAAAAAAAATTAAAATAGAAAATTTAAAATATTGAATTGAATAAAAAATTGAAATTCCAGAAATAAAAAATTAAAGTTTCCAAGCAAATAAACGGTAACGGTTATTTAAAAAACATTTGATTTTTAAAATTGCTTAAATATTTCAACACATTTTTAGATTATTCAGCAAAGTTTGCTAAAAAAAATAACTTTTATTTAAATTTTAATTAAAATTGTTAATTGGAAACAAAATTTAAAGAGATTAATTTTATTAACATAAAAACATAAGATTTAATATTTAATAGCTAATTCAATTAAAATATTGTATTTCAGCTCTCTTTTTTAATTTAAGCTACAGACTTTTTTTAAAATCGAATTATAATAAAAATTAACCAAAAATTATATAAAAAATTGAACTAAAAATAAATAATAAAAATAAAATTAATTTCAACGATTGAACTTATTTTTAAAATTTGTTTTTTTTATTTCGCTTTTATAAAATTTATAAGATTGTAGAATATTATTGAATTATTTGAAATAATTTTTATTTACTTCCTTTATTAATTTTTTATTATCTTAATTTAAATATTAAAAATAATTGAAAATAATTAAAAATAAAATGGGAAATATTTCTCAATAGTATTTTACTAAGCAAATGAAAGTAAAAAAAGCTTGAAATATCTGCATTTTTTAATCGAAGCAAATAACAGACACACCCACTTAATAAAACGAAAACAACAATGCGTGGTGGGCGTACATCCAAAAATATATCAACAATTAACATGCAAATGGCGAAAGGCATATGAATATAACTTATTTACAGCCAAATACATATTTGTTTATCTGTTTATATATACAATACAATATAATATTTTTATATTCATATATATGTACGTGTATGCATGAGCCTGTAGGCAAGAATATCCTTAAAAATTGAAACGCTTCGCTCGCTGAGCCACTACAATCGGCTTCACACGCATGTTAATCACCCACACAGAGAGTAATAACAACACACACACACCCACACACACATGTAAATAAATATATGCAGATTACAGCATAAGGCTTATATAAACAACAGCCTGCAGCCAGCGCTTGGTCGCCGGGGCGTATGAGTAACCGTGAAATCCGAAAAAATGCAATTTTCACGAAAAAGTGATAAAAAATTTACATGAAATCGCTACGAAGAATGTGTAGGCGCAGAGTTTTATAAAAAAAGCTTACTTTAAAAGCAATTTCGCTTGTATTTATGTACCTAAGTAAAGTGTGGACACATCCATATGTCTGTATATGTGTATTGCACACATACATTTGTACGGTTTTCACATGTTTCTGCGGCGCTGTGTGCTTCCTAAATGCGCTCTTCCGGATGAATGCTAAAAAGCCGCACACATATATATACAAAGCCAAAAGCCATCCGCTGATTACTACAAATTGCATAGGCGTTGCAGCGAAAATCAAATTAAAACCCAAATTAATCCCAAATTGGTGCATAATTCGATTTTGAGTGGCGCTTGCCGATACTAAATAAATTTGGTAAGATTTTTTGTAACGAAAAAGAGAGAGAGAAAAAATTTTGATGAATTTTTTATTTGCAAAAAACTTAATAAAAATAAAGTAAAACAAAATTTATAAAAAACAAAAAATAAATATAAATGAAATTAAATTAAATTAAATTAATGTAAGCAGTTTAAAATGAAATAAAAATGATAAAATGAGACGAAAAAACTAAAATTAAATTAAATGAAGAAAATTAAACTTAAAATAAATTTAATTAAATTCAATTAAAATTAATAACTAAAAAAGAAATAAAAAAAATTGAACCAAATTAAAGTGAAAAACTAAAAAAAAAAAATTA